ATACGTCACTGGCGAGACCAGGCCGAGAACGCCTGCATTTCAAGGGTCGCGATTAGCTACGCAGATGTCGGTGTCTGTTCCGGGATGGACTCACTGAAGGCGATGATATTTTGAGCAAAGTGCACGATGCCATTCACCGTCAAACCCCACATGACTCCCAGCGCTGTGACCTGCATACCACGAACTCCGGTGCTCGTTTCGAGGAGATGATCGTGTAGGCGCTCCTTCTGCAATGGGTCATCTGGCGTCACAGCTGCTGCAAGCATGCTGGGCAGGTCGGCATACATGACCATTGGCAGCATGATCTAGAAACCAAGTCCAAGCTTCGCATGAGCTTGCCGAGCGCGTGTTGACTTTGACGCGCTCTGCGAGACTCACAACGCATGAGATACCGGAGCTGTAGTACAACACACTATACTTGTCCGTCTTCTCACCCTCGCCTGGCCCATGACCGCCCTTTGTCAGCACCTTCTTAGAAAGAATGTTGTTCGCGACAAAGACCAACGTGCTCGCCAGCGCGGCCATCAGTCCGAGCAGGTCATCGGCGTTGAAAGCCATGCCAGTGCACGCCATCATCACTCCGAGCGTTAGAGGGCAGAGAGATGCGTAGGTTCTGAACGGATAGACGACGGCAAAGAGCAGGCGAAAAGATAGAACTGTGAAAAGCGGCGTCAGAGCCTGTTCGAAGGAGAATACATTAGAGTGTCAGCGATAGTGCACGAATGGAGTCAAGAGTGTCGCCCAGCTCCGACGTTGCCATCTCGGTGGCCAATGGGGCGCCATACGCTGACTGGTCTGGGTTGAAATGTGCCTTGATGCATTCCTTAATCCTGGTTCTGACGGTCTGCTTGCTACGCAGCCCGTCCGCTCATAGCCGCTGACATTCCTATTTTGCACGAACCTTGATAGTATGGACTGTGCTGACCGGCACTCTAGAAATGGCCAAGCTGGACAGCGCGTGCCCTACAGCATTGAAGATGCTCAACGTGCCCATTTCCCTGATGCGATTCCAACTGGGTTGCTGCAGCTTGGCAAGTGGTGTTCGAAGTCCGACGAAGGATGTCAAAGTCCGTGAGGCGGCCATGGCGCAAAAGATGTGCACAAAGAGGAATTGTATCAAGGTCAAGGAGACTGGATACGGGAATGGCGCAGACAAGGGTGGCAGAGCGGCCGCCTCCGATTTCCGCCTTGGTGCTGATAAGAGAGCCTAAGTCGGCAAGACTTTGCAGTGATCAGCTCGAATTCTGACTGGCGTTCCAGCAAATCGAGCTTCGTGGTCGCGCTCACCTTGGAGGTGTTGCTGCTCAACGCAGAGGCCATGTACCAGGCAACACAAGCTGCCAGAAATCTGCTCATCTCTCGAGATGGAAGCGACGCTACCAGCCTTTGCCGCACGGGAACAGGCTGGCCTGCGTGGCTCTTTGGGCGCGCAGCAGCTGCCAGAGCTGCTGCTCTGCCGGTAGATGACGTCGGTAGCATGTCGTCCACAGAGCTGCGAAGGTCTTCGAACGTATGGACACGGCTCTTCCGACGAAGCGCTTCCCCTGGCGCTCCCTTTGCAACTCGAGCGATCAAGCCGCTTTCTCCGCTCTTTTTCAGCCAGAATGCGGCTTCGATTTCAGGTGCTTCCAAGAGCGTATGAAGTGAGATCCAGCAGAGTGGTAAGATGACTTGTGCGATCACTGATGACAGCGGTCTCTACACTGAGCACCAGCACGAAGGCGGGAGATATGAAGGTTTGCGCAAGGATGCGCGTGGAATCCAATGATTGGAGGACCGTTGGCGTGCGCAGTGTTCCGAGCCAAGGTTCAACGCTAAGTCATGTTGTGGGGCGTCGTGGTGCGCTCCTGGGAAATTTCCGAGGCCGAGCATGAGGTCAAATTGACGGAAGCGGACGCAGACCGGACGCCGCACCAAAACCGCGAGCTATGATGATCACGTGAACATGTATGCTTTGACTGCATCAGGTGAACGACAGAAATCGAGGACTTGAATCAAGTTTTGAGTGTAATCAAGAATTTGAATTCGTGATTTTGTGAATCAGAATAAGCGTGAATGCCTGCTCTCGTGCCGCTCGTCTTTACGAATCACGACTCAATCATGACACTTGACTCTTGAGTCTCTTTTGGCTTTCGACAGTCGACCCAAGTTTTTGCACTGACTCGAGCCCTGAGGTCTGGCTCATGGAGGATTGACACATCACTTACATCTCGCTGTGTAAGACTTGTCGATACTTTTGCCGGCGGAGCAGCGTACCGGCAACCATCACTATGCAGCGGGCCGCTCTAGAATAGATACAAGATACGAATGTACCCATCTGAGCGATCGGGCGCCTTTTGGACGGCTGCGAACAATCTAGACGCCTCGAAGCTGACAAGGGGTGGCGTGGCCCACATCCTTTTAGGGCAGCTTTGCCAGATCAGCTTCGCGGACAGTCAGCATAGCGCTTCTTCCGAAATGTCACCTTTCGAAACTTGCGCTCTCGTTGCCGGGAGAAGGGTGGGTGGGTGAGAGAACATCATTACTAGCCGCTCGTGGAAGAACGAATGCTAC